TCTCCACTCTGTGCCCCCCACCCCACTCCCAGTCACATCGATATGACTTTTTGTTCTGGGTCTTTGATGCCTGATACCTGATCCCATCAACACCTCGTGATGACACAGCTGGTGTGCTTCATCCATGTGGGCTTTATTGCTTCTCAGCTAAATGGCCGTTTGTTTACCTTCAAGCCTTTAAGACCCCAGATACTATATTTTTTTATAGCCAGGCACCATCAGCTTTTTCACCACATTTGCTTATGCACCCATTTGTCTTCAGCAATCATGTCGGGAAAGTGAGCATCATGGAATGCCAGGTTAATAGAACAAAGTGTTCTTGCATTGAGGGAGTACTTGGAGACTATAACTCTTTATGGGAGTAGAAAGCCCCATCGTTAGCAGCTCAACATCTAACCACTATGCCACCAGAGTAATTACCAAAACAAACAAAAACTCACTGCCATTGGAGTCAATGCTGATTCATAGTGACCCCCCTGTGGATTTCTAAGACTAACTCTTTAGGAATAGAAAGCCCTGTTTTTCTCCCAAGTTGCTCTTGGTGGTTTCAAACTGCTGACCATGCAGATCACAGCCCAAAGCATAACCACTATACCACCAGGACTCCTGTACTTACAGACAACTCTGAAAAACATTGGACCAACTCTCTACTGACTCAAATCCAAGTATATTTTAAAATTTCAGTAAGTTCTAATGTGAATGCAGGGTGGGGGGGGGGGAATTGATCTAGTCCTGTCCCTTTATTAAGAAGCAAGGAAATGAAGAGGCTAGCCCAAGATTAGCCCAAGACCTCAGGCTAGCCCAAGACCTCAGGCCAAACAGCCCTTTATATATTACACAGGAAAAGAGTATAGTTAAAGTATGAGAGGGGAAAACTGCCAATAGAGAAAAGTTGGTGGAAAATTCTCCTTGAGAGACTTTGGGGCAAGTAGACACAAAATGAATAAGGGCACAGGGAATTTTAATAATGCATTTAATAATCGAATTTCATTGACCACACACCACCACCTACACAAGAATCCAGTTGCCTTAATTCCAACCGAGCTCCTTATAATGAGCAACTCTAATTCCCCCACTCAGGATGCTAAATCCATTCTGTGGCAGTGAGATTTTATGTCAACTTGCACTTGTGTAGGGGTGGGGTCCAGCCTGTCAATCAGCCTGATGATACCTCCTGGGAGGCGTGGCCTTTTTATAAGAGCTACTGAGTACTCCTCCTCTCTTGTTTTGCCATCCTGGTGGCACTCTGTGCCTGCCTTCAGGGATGGCCCTATGAGGGCCACCAGGTCCTTAGAACTGTCAATGCCCTGCCAGGTTTCCCTGACCTTGGATCCACATGAGTCTGCTCCCGCCAGCTTGTCAGCTTGCGTCCCACTTCACCTTTCTGCTTATCAGCCCAGAGCTCCGCGAGCCTAACAAGGGCTCCGGCTCGTATAGGACCCAATGACTTAAATTGGCCTGGGCTAGGATTCCTTCTTGATATACAATTCCTTCTTGATAGAAAGCTTTCTGATACACATATGTCACTGGTTTTTGTTTCTCTAGACAACACAAGTCTAACACACGCTCTAATTCGGGTTTTAAATATGACCCACCATCGGCTTGCAGTGCCGAGCTGCGGTTGAGGTTATGTGGTTACCATGGAGGCCCTTTGGACTCATGGGGATCCCACCTGGGCCAAGGACGGCTCCGCAGGATTTCCAAGGGTGTGGCCTTTCAGAAGTAGCTGGCCAGGTCTGTCTTCTGAGGCACCTCTGGGGGAGCTCCAACTGCTACCCTTTCCCAGCAGAGCACTTTACCATCTGCCCCCCAAGCCCCCTGACCCAGGAGTTACCTTGTCTATATCCTTCATGCGGGAGAGAGGTGTTAAAGGCCACATTAAGATCGAGAACAAGAAAGACAGTAAAATTCATCAGTAGCTCCAAAATCAAATAAGGTGGTAGATTTCTTTGCAAAATAAAAGCAGATGCATCACAAATGTTTGAAAACATCTACAGAAGGAAGAAATGCGAACATTTCAAAGTGATTGTTGACCATCCAACTACCATTCATATAAGACCACCATCAGTCCTGAAGGGTCCTGATAGTGGATGGTATGTTAGGCTTCTAGCCACAAGGACTGTAGTTCAAATCCACCAGCTGCTCCTCATGAGAGTGGTGAGGCTATTGCAATAAAAATGTACTCTCAGAAACCCAAAGACATTCAATCTACTCCATCCTATAGGGTTATTATGATTCTCAATTAATTCAATGGCAGTGGATCAAAAGGTCACCTACGTTACCTAAAAAGCCACTTAGACCTAGCGCCTGCATCTTGACATGAGTGTATTTAATTATACCAAAGGAAGATTGTCAGATTCCTATGCCAGAATTCCAATTAATAATAACCTTAAAAGTCTGCTCAGTAACATGTTTCAACAAACAAAGGGTTGCAATAAATCAAATTTCCCTGGCAATTTACACTCAATCCATCCCACTAGTGATGGTTCTGAGAGTCACATCCACCCTGCTTTTAACGCTCTGCTATTTGAGGACAGGCACCCTCAGTTTACTCATTTGTCTACACCATCATTTTCACTTAGCTTGGATGTTCCAGCCATTTCATTTCTGAAGTCTTTTTAAAGCAAAGCCCATAAACCTTTTATTAATTTTAAAAATAGAGAGGAACTTATTTCTACTTTTAAAATAAGGACTGAAGAAATAAGGCCCAAATTAGAATGTGTGTTAGGTTGGGTTGTCTACAGAAACAAAACCAGTAATGTATATGTATGTGTGTGTGTGTACATGTAAGAGTATGTGTACGTGTATGTATGTATGTATATGTATATATATGAAGGAGCTTTATCTCAAGAAGTAATCTTACATCAAGAAGGCGTCCACGTCCAGGGGTCTGATGCTAGGCGGAGCCCTCTTCAGGACCTTGTAGGACCTGCTACCTACTAGGGTTTGTTACCACACACATCAGCCTCCAACCTGTACCTCCAAACAAGCACACAGTCTGGCAAATGACTAATTGGTCACGTATACATTTGCCATGGTACCATCTGCTAATACAGAAAAAATTTATTTATATAAATTGTTTTGAAAATCGTTTTCTTGAAAACTGGACAATAATCATTTCTCTCATTCTTAAGTACCCACAGAGGCAAATTTAGACACTAATAAGCTCTGAATTTTTAAAAGTCTAAGTTTCTCATGTTGTCCATGAAAATGTTAAAACAAGCCTATTTTGGAAAAACATTTACCGTTATTACTGGATCTAAACTCAAAACCCAAACTCTTAGCAACCCCATACAACAGGCTAGAGCTGCCCATGTGGATTTCTGAGACTGTAACCCTTTATAGGCGTAGAAAGTCTCATCTTTCTCCCGAGGAGCAGCTGGTGGTTTTGAACTACTAACCTTGCAATTTGAAGCTCAACACATTACTCACTACAGTTCCAAAATGGTTTTAGAAACATTCTAATAAAGGCAGAAGGGAGTTATGGTGGCATAGTGATTACATGTTCAGATGTGATCCTAAGATCAGCAGTTCTCACTCACTCACTCACTCACTCTCTCACTGACTCATTCACTCACTCACTCTCTTGCCCTCTAATTCTCTCACTCTCACTGACTCATTCACTCACTCACTGACTCACTCTCTCATTCACTCACTCACACTCACTCACTCACTCACTGACTCACTCACTGTCTCACTCACTGTCTCACTCACTCACTCTCATTCACTGACTCACTCATTCACTCTCTCTCACTCACTCACTCACTCATTCACTCACTCACTCTCTCACCCTCTAATCCTCTCTCTCACTCACTCTCATTCACTGACTCACTCACTCTCACTCTCTTTCACTCACTCACTCTCACTCACTCTCATTCACTGACTCACTCTCTCACTCAATCTCATTTACTGACTCACTCACTCACTCTCATTTACTGACTCACTCTCTCACTGACTCATTCACTCACTCACTCTCTCATTCACTGACTCATTCACTCACTCACTCA